CCGTCTGTATAGACAGCACTTTGAGCAAGAAGGGGAGCTTGCCCCCGAAGGTCTTATTGACCGTGGACCCCAGCTGCTCCGGATACTCTTTCACCCAGTCCTGAAGAGTCATCTCCCCTTCCTCCAGCTTCACGGAGACCAGGTGTTCTGGTTCGGGACCCATCCACAACTTTGAGGACCCATTGATGAATTTAAAGAGAAAAAAAACTCTTTTTAGTTTTAGTTTTAGTAGAGGTTTTACGGCGCTCGCAACTGCATAAGGTCATATGAGCGCCACACGATTAGAGGTGTTAGATCTAGGCTACAAGAGAGTAACAAACATAAAAAGAAGAAGAGGAGATAAGGACGAAAGATGTTTGATAGCAAAGAAGGATCAAACCACACCAGAGCACCCGCCAACCAGCCACAAAAAATCTTTAAGTTTAGTAGAGTTTTTACGGTGCTCGCAACTGCATAAGGTTATATGAGCGCCAAGGGGTGGATGTCGACAGAGAAGTCTTTACAGGAAATCGGGCTTACTCTGCTCATCTCTCTAGCTTCAACAGCACAAAGTCAGTTTCCACTTTCGAGGCACCCCGGCTATAGCGGGTCACTAGAGTGTGACAAACATACAAAAGAAGTAGAGGACATGATGATAGTAAGGATTAGGAAAGAAAAAGCAGCAATTCCCTGTTGGAGTTCGGGCACAGTTATGAGCATGACATTGATGAATCAGCCCATTCACATTTCTACTGTGCATGAACGAGAAATGTCCCCCCTTTGGGAATGGCCTAAAGACACTACTATGCAAATGTCACACAGCACACCTATTAGCCCATTCCAAAAACATGACTTATTATTATGGTAAGGAAATATATGGTAAAGTAAGGCAAGGAAAGATAAATTGTAAATGGTTAGACACGATAGTACGTGGTTCTTTGTCTTTTTTTCGAATAAAGGTGTTCTGCACTCCCATCGAAACTAATTTAGATCTTTTAGGAGGTGGATTTGGACCCTGACTGCAAGGACCAACCTAGGCTGAGAGGGATACAACGTCTCAACAGAACGGCGGAAATAGTCGTCAACAGGAGCCGTGAAAACACCTAGGGCAACCCACTAAATGATTGTTAATATTTCAGTCTACGAGTGACACAATTTAGATCATTTAGGAGGTGAGATATTTCGACTGTCGAAAACAAGATCGATCAGAAATGGTATTGGAAACTATCTGGAAAAAGAAAAAGAGGAAAACCAGTAAGTTAGTAAACAAGTAAGCAAGCAAGCAAGCAAGCAAGCAAGCAAACAAACAAACAAACAAACAAACAAACAAACAAACAAACAAACAAACAAACAAACAAACAAACAAACAAACAAGCAAGCAAGCAAGCAAGCAAGCAAGCAAGCAAGCAAGCCAGTCAGTCAGTCAGTCAGTCAGTCAGTCAGTCAGTCAGTCAGTCAGTCAGTCAGTCAGTCAGTCAGTAAGTAAGTAAGTAAGTAAGTAAGTAAGTAAGTAAGTAAGTAAGTAAGTAAGTAAGTAAGTAATGTTTCGAACCGGAAGGCGAGGGCCAACCCTGGCTGAGTGAGATACACCTTCCAAACAAAACAAAGGAGATATTTGGTACCCCTTCGCATGCGGGAATGGAACTCACGTCTTTGGCGTGCAATGGCGAGAGGCCTTGGCTTTACACCACACACAGCATTTATTTGAAAAACATAGCAAAGTCGGTGCGCCAATTTTCGTCCCATATCTTCGTTTCACGATCCGCTTTTATCCCACGTTTTAAAGCCACGACGGGGGCTCTCATGGCCTAGAGGTTAAGGTGTTCGCCTCTCATTCAAAGGTCCCGGGTTCGAATCCGGGTAGTGACCGAAAATTTTTCATCTCCTTTCCTGCTCTCTAGCAATTTTCTGTTGTCTGCTTTCATTTCCACTTTCTGCCCCCACCCCCTCACCTCCTTTGCCCCCTCCTCTGGGCTCCTGACTCTTTCTGCAGCCTTTCTACTGCTACTCCTTGGCTCCTATTTACTGCTGTCTTTCTGCCACACCCTTGATCTTCTGGTAGGAAAGATCTACACCTAGCCTTCTCGGACAAGGGCGAAAAATCTCGGAGGGCCCGTGTGCAAGTTGCGCACGTTAAAGATCCCTTGGTGGTCTAGAATCGACAAGAGTAGGCTTCGGCCGCCATCCGGGCAAAATTCAAAATTTCCTACCAACTGAAAATATTAGGTGTGTCCCGCGCGCTCATATGACCTTATGCATTTGCGAGCGCCGTAAAACACTTTACAAAAACAAACAAAAAAGCCACGATGTTTACCCTTTTTCATCCTACATTTGCATTAACATACATGTAACCAATTACCATTTGACACCTATACCTAAACCATTACCCTTCTGTAATTTTAAACAAAATGCATCCTGCACGATATGGAAGAAGGAGCAAACCACCCCAACGCACCCGCTAAGCACCCACTGCGCTAGGGGCGGGTTTATTTAAGTTAAAAAACCTACAATATCCAGGTAATTATCATTAAATTTGCGAACCATTAAATGTACAATAAAGATTTATAAATACGCCTGCTGTTTCACCAAATGTCGCTCAGCGCAGCGGGTCTGGGTTACCCCCTCCCCCTTCCCCTCCCACATACACATGTATTATGCACATACATAAATGTGCACACACACATACACACAAACACACACACACACACACACATACACACACATACACAAACGCACACATAACACGCATACACACACAGACACTCACACATACACACACAAACACGCACACAGACATACAGACGCACACAAACACACAAACACACACACACACACACACACACACACACACACACACACACACACACACGTACACACAAACACACACAAACACTCACACATACACACACATACACAAATACACAAACCCACAAACACACAAACACACACATACACAAAAAAACAAACAAACAAACAAACACACACATAAACACAGATACACACACAAACAGACACAAACACACACAAACACACACATACATACTAACACCGCAGGTGTGGGATTGTCTTAGTGTGATGAATTTAGTTAGTAGAATTTATGTAAATGAGTCTCAGTCTTATTCCACAGAGATAG